ACTCTTTGGCTTTGTGTCCCTTATCAGTGCAACATTTTGCATGTTGGCCAGGAAGGAAGGCGCAGCGACAGCCAGTTGTGGCAACCCAGCCACGTCCTCACCCGCATCCTCCCCTCTCCTCTATCGGCTTGGGCATTTGTCACAGTCCCCCCCCACACACACACACACATAAACGACGCGATCATCCGTGCACACTTAACATGTGTCTTTTTATGTATGCTTTTAGCCAGCTTTATCGCCGGCTTTCGGCTACTGCGGCGCTCCAGAGTCTCCGGCTCTGGTCTGGCCTGGCCTGGCCCGTCCTGTCCTGGGCTCTTCTCCTCTAATGGCTCATTTCCTTGAGCTGGGGCAACAACAACGGTAATTAACCTGTGCATGTTAATGAACTTCAAACTGCACACTCCTACTCCACTGCACTGAGAGAACCCCACGGCGTCGCTTTTGGCTCCAATGCTAAATATACAAAGATCAGTCCTTAACTATAGCCGATCCACTGATACGAAGTTCATCAAAGTCTCGAGAGTATAATAATACAGTAGCCAACCGATTCGCTGGCACTTCCATCGACACATCGACACATCGCAGACCAACCAGCACACAGTTGCTCATCAACTAATCGACTCCATTAGTCACTATTTGGCTAGTACTTTTACACTTGGGAAGTAATGATTCTTTCATTTTTCTGGAACTGAAAGTATGCTGAAAGTTCCTCCCAGTGCACTCTCGGCCAAGTGGCCAAAGCTTATGCAGATTTTTGTCTTCTCTGTTCACGTTGGCGCTAATGCAAATGTGGAAAGGCATTTTGTGAGCAAAATGAGGTTGGTTGTTGTCGTGCCGCTGACAATCTAATTAGAATACAAAATGCTTTTAGAGGCTCCAACTCCAGCTGCAGCTCCAGCTCCAGCTCCAGTCAAGTCCATGGGTTTCAAGTTCATGGTGTTGACATATGTAGCCAGTTGGGGTGGGGGTTGGAGTTGGAGTTGGCTGCAGTGCCCCGAGCCTCTGCAGCAGGGGAACCTCCTCCACACAGCACCGCCCGGCACTTTGTTGAATAAGATTTTGACAGCATATGCGGAGGGATTTGATTTCAGTCAGGGCCATTATTGTGATGAGATGGGATGCCCAGGAACGGCGTAGAGTAGATGATCCGCAGATGATCCACCGATGAACTTCGGGCCGAAATTGTCAACAAACTCGTACATTCATAATGAGTGGAAAGTTTATAGGAGGGAGATTATCTGTGGTCCCAATGGAAAATTAATTCAGGTTAGACATTGACTCGACCGACTCCAACGGGCAGGATCGGGTCTCCTTCGCAGATATCTGCTGAAGATGCATTGGGAAATGGATTTGGCTCTTTTTATGAACATGATGCACAACAACTTCCTCCAATCTAATCCTCATCTCCATCCACATCCACATCCACATCGACTCTTACGAGCAGTCACGTAGGCTGCCCCCTGCCTCTGCCTCTGGCTCTGGCTCTGCTCCACCTTGTACAACAAATTTCAACTCTGAACTTCACTTCGATTTGATATGCCCACTCATACCTCCTCGGGTGCTTGTACCAGGAACTGGCATCACATCAGGGCACATCGGAGCACAGCACGTGCACAGAGTCAACAAGGCAGGCAGTCAGAGCAGAGCAGAGCAGACGCAGACGCAGACACACACATATCAAGCTAATTAAGCAGACTTCGAATGAAAGCCAACAAAAGAGGGGATTCGATCGTGGGCCAAGCGACACCACCTGGAGCTCGGAGCTTGGAGCTCGGAGCTCGGAGTTCGGTGCGCTGAAGAGCACCCACAGATCGCAGAGATCTCTGCAGAGTGCGAGTACCGTACCCGTGGCACGCGATAATCAATCAAAAGCCATTAAAGCCAAACGTTTCTTCACAGACAAAGGGAGCTAATGCGGAGTAGAAAGCATTTCTCTGGAAAGAAAGGGCGGCAGAGGGAGTGGCAGAAATCAAATATGCGTCAAGGCAAGTTAAAGATCAAAATCAAAATCAAAGTAGAAAAAAAAGAAAAAGAAAAAGAATCAAGATCAAATTGATCACTAAAGGGGAAGCTGGAGCGGCACTGGCGAGCCAAAACGGTTGCAGTTGCTCGGCTGGAGATGATTGACAGAATTAGAATATGAAATCGTGAGGTGCCCCCAGCCTGTCTCTCTTCCATTATGATTACGATTTTGATTTTGATTTTTATTAAATGACCTAGTTGTGCCTAAACGCCTTTTTGTTTGGCCCAAGAAAAGTGAAGGCAGCTCCAATCCGATGGAGAAGAATGTCGCCCGTCTGGGCTGCTCTCCAGCTCCAGCTCCAGCTCAAGCTCCATCTAAAGCTCCACAGATAGCTGTGCAGACCCGGACCACCAGCCAAATGTCGCTCAGAGTTTGCCGAATGCAAATGAAAACCCCACCACATCGACTTCCAAGTGCAACTTTCTAAATGAAATGAAATTCCAATCGCACAGGCGCACAGCTCTCCTCCTGCCCCTGTCCCTGCCCCCTGCCCACTGCCCCATGCCACATGTGTCATGTGTGCACAAAATTAAAGAAATAATTTCGAGTAGAAATATCCAAGTTGATTGTCACCTGGCGGTCCAGGAAGGAGGGCCGGGGAACTTTGACTAAATCACAGCCTTGACACTGGCACCTTTCTCCAAGACGCGACCAACACTCGTACAAATTAGCGTGCAACTTCCCATTTCTCTCGGTGTACGCCACGTCCCGTTCCCCCCACTGGGATGGTCCGAGTCGGAGTCGGTGTCGGAGTCGGTGTCGGAGCCAGTAGGCTCATTTAGAGACGCATTCGCAAATTGCTCTGCACTTTTATTGTCACCTCTTGGGAGACGCGACTGTGGATTGCGCGGTGGCATTTTGTCGCGACGCCTTCGACGTCTCCGACCCATCATCTGCCGTCACTCCTGGACGTCCAGGTAATTGCCTTTGACAAGTTTCGCCTCCAAAGCTCCACTCGAACCACTTGTAGGCATTTTGTTTGACTCGGATTATCTTTAAGTGCATGGGCTTAACATTCCGCAGATGTCCCACTAAACGGTCGTGATCTCCGTCGCCGGACTGGGCTGGACAACTTGTAGGATTCTGTTTCGACCTTGCATAATCATGTCCAGCGGACTAGCATCGGCCACCATGTACATGGCATTATTGTGCACTGACCAGGCGCACTTAACTGCCAATCCAGCCTTACACTCGCACGGGCATGAAGGGGGCCAAGCTGACCCTAAATCATATTTGAATGCCTTCCTTTCTGGGTACGCATAACCAAGAAATCAAAAGAATTCACTGCAGACGCGAGTCTATTAGCTGCTCCCAATCCCAACAAACTTGGAGCAGTTTGAGGCTACTAGAAAAATCTAAGCCATACATTCACAGTCAGTGTATTGGATCCGCATGGACTGTGGACCATGATCCATTCCGTTCCCCCACGATGACCAGCCCGCATCCCATGTGAAGTGCCCATTAAACCCCATATATAAATCACCATTAATTTGACAGTAGGTTTTTACATAACTCAGGCCAACAGGTGAAAGCGTGCAGCTGGCAGGTCCACTGACGGGGGAGACCATGGCAGAGATACCGGAGTGTCGTGGAAAAGTCGCCACTTGCACTCGTAAAAAGAGAGTACTTCCCCCCGGGCAGCGATGGCATGCAAAATCGAATTGTGTGCTAATATTTGGCCAAAATGCACAGTGCCAGTGGTTACCGGCGAGCCACGACATGACGAAGTGACTGCCTGGCGGGTCCAGACCGCGTCGGATGAGGACTTTTCCATGCCGTTGCCTGGGCTCTCCCCTCTTGCCACAATAAAAATCATTTTCTTTTGAGCACAAATTGGCAAGTGTTGTCTGGGAAGGGGAAGGGGAAGGTGGAGGTGGAGCAGGGTCTCGCTGATCGACATGCAATGTCAGTGAAATTTCCGTCAAATAGGTAAAAGTTGTCAAGATTGTACCTGGGGATTGGAGTATTCATGGGATTACGACTTCTACTTAAAATTCTTCTTACTGCTGTACATAATTGCATTTAAATGATAAAAATGGTAAAAGCTGCCAACTATCCAAACTATCCTATTCCGATTGGCAAATGTAATTAATTAATATGTACAAATAAAAGTTACACCTGGGATGATACCCTGAAAATTTAAATTTAAGCTCGAGAAGATAGAAGACAGATTGACTTCGAGATTTGTGGCCTAATCGACTTGATATTCCCTCAACGAACGTCTGTTGTGAATCGGTATCATTTGTACTGAAATGTTTGGCTCGAATTAACATCAACCTCTTCCTACAGTTCATTTAATAATTATTCTATCTAGAGATTCATATGAAGAGTAACATTACCTAATAATACATTACTTAATAATAATACTGAATAATATAATCTAATCTAATCAGTCAGTCAGTAATTGTAGAACAAACCACACACCACCAGTCTTTTAAGACTGATAGATGTCTGTCTAGTCAGCTACAATCGCCTCTTCCGGAACCAGTTAACTTACCAAAAGATGCCAAAAAAGAAAGCTCACACATGACAACTGCCCAGCCAGCTTCGATTAATAGCTTTGGGAAAAGTCCGATGATGGAAACACGGCTTTTGTTTTAGCAGTTAGCCCTAGACAATATTTTCTGGCTAAAAGCTTTTCCCCAACCCCACACATGACAAGCAGTTCCTCATGCAGTGGTTTTTTTTTACATACGAGTATATATGTATGTATGCACAATGTGAGCTAAGACATTTTATACTTTCACTGACCACGCACATTATCGGGGGGAGAGAACTGAGTCCGCATTCTCCTCCATGGACTCGTGGGGCACATACACATGTATGTAGCGACTGGCCAGGGTTTGATTTGTGTCGAGATGCTTCTGGGCGTAGCCTTGATGACCAAAGGCCGCCAAGAGCTCTGAGTCGGGACTTAAAACGACGGATCATGTCCTCCGAGACATTGCCTTTTGAGTAGTTGTCAAATATTGTAACAAATACACATGCCAGGATGCCATTTTTGAAAAAATTTTGCTTTTGTATACCGCTGCGATATATATGCCTGCTCCTGGCTTATTTCATGCTGGTGCCTCCCTTAGTCAATTTCGTGTGGCTGATACTTTTGCGCAAATTCATCTGCACTCGCCTCATAACACTCTGGATCTTTGCCGACTTCTTTAATGTACTCGCAAGTTTTCTGCTTATCAGCGCTATTTATCTGGTAAGGTAGGCCACTAGGTGAGCGCTTAAAGAGCGAAAAATAAAGCGAAATTGTGATTTGTCCAGGAAAGCAGCAACATTCTGCCCCTGCACATCGTATCGAAGCTGATTGGTCTGATTGTGGAATTGATTTGCCACTTGCTCATCGCGTCCGTGGAAATAAGTCAACCCTTGTCGATGATCAGTTCCGGGCTCTCCATCGGATGTACATAAGTCTTTGCTGGATCATTCGAAAACGCTGACTGCCTCCTCTCGCCCACAGGCACCTGTCTGGACGTACTGGTAGCACTCAGATTCTACCAGCAAGTGGAACCAGAGGACTAGCCTAGCGCATGTCCTGGTTACCCATTAACCCGCAACGGTAGTTCGACCGGCCGCGGTTTTGACCAGGCCTAATCACAGCGTGTAGCATTTTGTGGTGCGATTAAACGCAGATTTATTGGGAAACTGTTGCTCAATCTCCACGTGGCGCGGCATAAATCGTGTGCAATTGTCACCAGATTCGCCGACTGCCATGCGCCGAACCACGTTTAATTATCGCCCCGGCATAGCCCGGCGAGTTACATGCGTGCTAATTGACTGAGTCGCAGAAAGCGCGCGAAAGGCCACTGTCGCAGTCTGCATATACAAATGTCCCAGTCGCAGTCGCAGTCGCCAGTATCCCAGTGTCCAAGTTTCCAAGAGTCCAAGTGTCCAGTCCAGATGATAACCGCCACGATGAAAACGCACGCTGGGCCCAATGAAAATTATGTTGCAATTGCTGAGAGTGGTGCCCGCTGGCTGGTCACTGAACCAGCCACTGCTCGATCGCAAGCCTTAATTAATTTCGTTGATTAATTGAAAGTGGGCTCTGCTCTGGTCTGCGGTTGGATTTATTTTGGTTTTATTTCGCGTTACACTCGTACGTACGAGTATTTTTGGCAGTGCAGCACAGCACAATGGTCCCAAATTCGATTTTTTTTTGCATAAAGCTCAAAAATGTATGAAAAGATTTTTTTTAAATAACGAAATATTCGGAAAGATATCCCTAAAATAAGGAACCTTTTTATTTTTGAGCCTTGTGGCAGCCCTGCACCTTTGGAGGCGTCACAAAGTCAAAAGCCCTGGGATGTGAGAAATTACAGCAATTTTTTGCAAAACTTTACATTATTCTTTAATGTAAAATTAATGTAGAACATATATTCAAAAGAGCAAGTGTCTTCTCTTTGTTTTCTAGCGTTGCGTATATGTATGTCTATTTGGCTAAAAAGTCTATCAAATGTAGTTGTGTTGTCTAGCGTAGAACTTTCGTGGCGTCAGAGGTAAAGCCAAGATTAAAACGCTTAGTTATTCACTAAAGTGTGCAGATTAATATTTATTATATCTCCCTTGCCCGTTTTTGACCCATTTGGAAAAAAATTTGTTTTCAGTCATATAGGAATTTCGTCGTGAAGCCCTGCAATAACGATCGCAGCGCTGATAAAGTAATTGAATTTATGTTTGGAAAAATGAAAAAAAAACAGCGTAAAGCATATTCCAGTTGTAAAAAAAAACGTTACTAATTTTATTAGTCATGAAAAAAGAAATGTGAGCAATGCAGTCGAAAAGATTTAAATAGCAATTATTTTATTACTTTACTCGACAAAATTGAACTTTTTATTTAGGCTGTAAGCCAAAATTACTTTCTCTGATTCATTTCGGAATTTAAAAATTTTTGTAGTACTTTATTTTTTTTATGGAGTCATTTTTTTTTAAGAATTTTTAAAATCTGGTATTTTTTGCATGTGTTTTTTCAGAGGTAGTTCTTCTATTTTTCACATAACTTAAGTGTCTTATATTGGTTGCATAGTTGCATTTTTGAAAAGCTGACAATCGCAGCTATAAATCCGACCCAGACTCTTTGTATCTACAGCTTAACGCCTGGAAGATATTAAGCTTTCAAATTCAAATTTCATCATTTTTTGCGGTATTTTTTTTTCAATTTTATAAAATTGAAACTGGTTACTGTAAATTGAAATTAAATTATTTAAATTAAATTAGTTAAATTAATTGAATAGATTATTCCACATAGAGTTCTAGTTGATTTATCTATCTGAAAAGTTATGCATTTTTAAAAATGAAAGCACTTGTTTAAAACTCTGCCTTTTTACTCCCAAAAAATTTCTATCACAAAATTCAATTATCTTTAAGAAAATATAGTTTTCTTTATTTTCGGATACAAAATACAGTCTCCAGGCTGCCAACTGGGCGTGGGCGTGGTCCGATTCGCCCAAAAATGTTTGCATATAATATTAATCCTAATATTACCAAATGTGCAAAGTTGCAAGTCTGTATCTACATTTGAAGACTTTATGCAAAAAAAACAACTTTGGGACCATTGTGCACAGTGCAAAGTTGAAGGCGAATAAGAAAAATTGTGTCGTATTCGATTCGGTAGTATATTATGGGCGTTGCCCTGGGCCAACCCTTGGCCATTACTCTTTGTGGGGCTCCATCTCCATTCCTTTCCTTTTTCTCTGCCCAACACTCGATTATGGCAGAAGTTATGGCCCGCTCGAAGGGTACGCTCGGTCTTGGGATGCACGCTGCAAGCTGGGGATCAGCGAACTATAATCACAACTGGGTATTGCAGAATTAAGCTGAGTCTTGGATCATCCAACGTGATAGTATTCGGAACTTCCACTGTATTCCAATTCGTACTCGAGCTGTGCTGGAATTTTTTTTTAAACTGCTCAAAATATATAAGATTAGCAAATACTTTCAATTTACTGACAAATAGCTCACTCTTAGGCCTCACCATAACCGTTGACCTTGCCAACGTTTTGCGGCAAGTTAGGCATCACTTTGCTTTCGGGCCAAGTAAGCTTCGAGGCGCAACAAAGTTGCCTTGTCTACGCGTGCATCCTCGTGCTGCGAGCACGTTCGCCGAATATTCACCGATTTCATAAAATATTACGATAAATGTCGCTCTCAACATTTATAAGCAAGAATAATTTTTTATATTTTATGGCTTATGCCCGCAAAGCGACATTAAATGCTCCTGCTTAAAGAAACAAAATTTAATCGCATCGAAAACAAAAACAAAACGCATCCAAACAGAGTGAAAAAAAAACAAGAAAAATGAATTGTCTTCATTTTGTAATTTAATGGTATTTTATTGAATTTCTGATGGGCTTGGACAAGGCGGATTTGTCCAGGGCTCCATCCTTGGCTTGTGGCCTGGCGGGACGGTCGGTGATGGTGGGCTTCGATGGGATCTCCGGTCCGTTTCGTTCCTGTTGACATTTAAAATATGGCCGCATGTCAATGCGACTGCCCTACGCCCATTTTTATGCTGCCCCCGAAAGTCAGGTTTAAGTTTCGATTTCGGTTTCGATTCGATGCGAGCTGCGTACTGGAGGAGTACCGGAGGAGTCGCGATTCAGCCCCGAAATCTTTACTCTGGCTAAATTCAATTTGAAGGTCTGTGCACAGAAAAATGTGCTTTCACTTGACCCGCAATGCTGCGTAAATAAATTTTATCGCTCCGTTGACACGTGCGCGTAATATTTCATTAAATTTAAGCCAAGAAAAGGCGATCCAAAAAAATACAAAATAAGCAACGGCAAAGCAAAAAATAAAATAAATATAATTGCAGTCCGGTCAAAACGGCAGCATAAACCAATCCGCGATTGCATCGTAACTTCGTTTGCAATTTGGCAAGTTTGACACTTGGCCAGTTAGTGGCTTGGTGACTCTCGCTCTCGCTCCGCTGTCCCAGCGCCGTGTGCCACCGGCTGCCTGTTTCAAATGTGTTGTGTCCAGAGTGCCACCTACGTTGGCTCACAGTAGGCCCAAGGGGGGCTACCTGTCGCGACTTTTGCCGCCTGCCATTCACTTGCCGGCAGTGCGTGACTCTCTGGGGCTGCCGTCGCCGCCGCTGCTGCCGCCGCTGCTGCTGCTGCTCTGATTGCAAATGCCAATTGTTGTACTATGTGGGAGAAATCCTGATCAATCACGTGCATATACATACATACATGCACATATATGTACTCGTATGTAGCTGCACTGCCTCATAATTCTTAGGCCCAATGCAAGCGGTGGCAGATCTTGTGGGTTGGTTAATTAGTCAATAAAATAATACTGATATTCTACATATAATATGATTTAGCCGAAGGCCTTATCCTTGTCTGCTACGGCTTAATTCTTATCACTGATCAAGGTTACAATTTGTTGTTGTCTTTTTTTAAAAAACCATACAAAAATAAATGGAGGTTGAATACTTGTACCGGGAATAGCATCGACTTGTTGCGGGTGCAGATGCGCCCCATGACTTGAATTTGGAGACCAGATGCCTGTGGATCATTTCCGAGCAGTAGCTATTTTGGCACATTTGTTTCTTTGTGTTAAATACAGGTGTGAATAATATTAGCTGAATATATAGCCCATTCAGCATGATCTGTAAGGGGTGATACGGGTAGAAAATATTGTGACCACTGTGCACCTTTGTGTAATTTACTTTCGGGGCTTACAAAACTTATTTTTGTAAGTGGAGGAGGCTCGTAAAAGAAAAACGTATCCCGATTTAACCTTGACTCGGCGAACGCCCACAAAGCTGGCAAAATCCCAAGAGTGATCTACGCCTTATTGTGCATAATTTTTAAAGCTGCAAAGAACCCCATAAACATGTGGCCATTACGCTGAACGCTTCGGCTAATGGCCCGCGTGGCACCACAGCCCAGCCACAGTTCCAATGAGATCGTAAACTCATCCGACTGTGGGACTACTGCCGCGGCTGGGTCTGCTCAGCGCATAGTGCCGTCTTAGACGGAGGTACAAGTGCCGGTGTCGCTCCCGACGGTCATTAGGAGAGATGGCAACACGCACCCAATGGAGCGAGCCGTAGTCGGGTCATTTGAGTCCGCTGGCGGACGGGGCGTCACTTAAGCCGATACTAATTTCCATAATGTACGCCTGACGGAGACGAACAGGTTCCCTCTGCAAATATACAAAGAGTGGACTCGGTAATCTAGGAAGTTAAGCGTTGGAGATGGCCCCGTGACACGGCAGGTAGTGCACGAGCGAGTTTTATTGCAGTGTTCTGACAATGTCCTCTGGAGAAGTATTCCATAATACAGAAATATCTGACATCCAATTAAAGATCCCCGCATAAGCAGCTCTGGTTAACACCTATTGGTCTCATGCTTCTTGGCCTAGACCTTGGCCAGGCCTCAATGACTGGCAATGGCAATGGCAATTTAACGGCTCAGCAATTGCCTGACCCATCGACGTCCACAAGGCGATCGCGGGGCCCAGGGTCTGGAGTTGGCGGTTGGCGGCTTTGCCGTTGTCTCTGGCAACATGAGTATGATTTATTGTGGGCTACGTGGCCGTGGCCGCAGCAGCAGCAGCTTCTGCCTTCAGTTCGTGATGACTTGGATTCCCGTTTGCCCGTTCGTTAGCTGCAGAGTCGCGGACAGAGGAGCATGGTCTCTGGGACTCTGCTTCTTTATGTGTATCATTTTTCTTGGCCAGCGGCTGGGTTTTACATTATTGTATTTTCATATTGTTTGTGCTTAATTTGCTTACCCAGAGGGAGGGACAGTGCGGGCCTGCACCTGATTTTCCGAGTGCTGTGTTGTGACTCTGCTGCCACTGTCATAGAGCGATGCTCTGCTCGGCTCGGCTCGGCTCGGTCGGGGCAGGCTCCCATCCCGGACAAGTTCGTTAATTTGACGCTCGCATAAATTTCGCCAGCGCAGGCAAATGACTCAACCTCGGGACGGGACGTGGTGGGCTGGTCCTGATGCGGGCTCTTGGGCTATTAGCGCACAAAGCCAACGCCTTTCCCGACCCGACCCGACACCTCCGCAGAACCCACCTTTGCCGCAGCCGCTGCCGCTGCCACCTCTGGCCACAGCGCTGCGGCGTTTCTTTTGTCAATTTCCAGACATTTGCCTCTAAGTGCAGCAGGCAACTAGCAAAAGAGGAGATTTATGTTACTCTGGTGTCATTTTAAGTTAATGGGCTATACTCCCTGACCAGTTTTTACACTCGTAGATGGACTGGGCCCGAGAAGCGCACTCTTCTTCTCCTGCACTTCGTCCATTCGGCTCCAGCTGCAGGTGGATTTGCTATTGGGCTGTGCTATTGGGTCTGGCAAATTTATGGCTCCGGCTTTTAAATTGGTTTATGGCAATTTCCTCAGCACCCACACAGCGACAGACAGGCCTTCAACTGCAACTCCAACTCCATCTCCAACTCCACAAGCAACAGCACAGTTCATTTATTATCAACAATTTCAAAGCAATTTCAGAAATTTTGCATGTGCTAGGGATGGCAAATCGGCAGCTTGTTCTCGTTCGTGCCAGTGTTGGAAAGTGTGCCGTTTGGTGTGCTTTTCATACACTGAACTGTCAGGGCAGCAATTTTCGGTTGTTTGTGAGTTTGTTTTTTTCCCCTGAAAAACATCTGCTGTTTGTTGTTCGGCATCGAAATTTCTGTTATTTGGCAATCTTTCGATATCATTCTGTTCGCCGCCCAGTCCACGATGAAGCGTCACAATGCCAAGGCCATAGCTGCAGCGGCGGCCGCCGCCGGCGTGCCGTCCCATGTGGAAAGGAAACTGTCGGGCCTGCAGTCGGTGCCCTCCGATGTGAGTGTGAAGGGTCCTGTCCTCTATGTGGATGTGGTGAAGAATATGCCCAAGGAGGAGCCTGCACCAGTGGAGCCACCACACCAACTCTCACCACCCGAATTCAGCATTTTCCGAGAGGATTTTCCGGCCCTGCCAGGAGGAAGGCCCGCGTCGGTGAGCTCGGTGCCTGACGACTGGACGAGTATGATCAGTGACGACGAAGAGATCATAATAACCATTCCGAAATCTCTGCACATTTCCTCGTCCCCCACGGACGAGACCACGGAAGACGATTTGGTGGCAGATGAACCGAAGTCCGTGTACAGCCTACTCTCTGCAGCAGAGGAATTGTCCTTGTCCAGCGATCAAGATGATGACCATGTGTTCGAGTGCGACGCTGCCTCACCCAAGACAACTTTCACGGAGAGTGACTCCAGCGCCAGCGGTTCTTCCTTTGAGGTCAATGGCCAGAATGCCGACTACGTCCCCGAAGCCGCCAGCTACGTCCACGAACAACCAGCGGCGGAAATACTTTGTGAAGTCAGTCTCATATTTTCCAAGCAGTTTATCCAGGAGGGTGTGCGACAACGCTCAGTGAATGGCTCCATTGGCAACCTGGATTCAGATTCCCCGCCCGCGAGATGTTCAGACCCGCCTGGATTCGAGAAAACAACGATCCACGCCTCCCACAAGACACACTACGCGGAATTAGCCATGGGCGGCAGAAATTCGAAGTCTCCTGGATCCAATGTAGACTCCCAAGGAGCCTTCGGCCTGCTAGGACTGGCGAGCAGGCTGGGAGTAGCCCAAGATTCCGACCTTGTGCCCATGGTCTATGGTGAAGACGATCTTATGAGCATGGAGACCGACTATAGGGCCGACATCTTTCGAAACCTTCATTCACCCTTTGCTGGGCCATTCCGGGGTCTTCGCTATGGCCTCAGTGACATTAACTTCAATGAGCCCATCGACCGGCGAATGGCCAGCAGACTCGGCTTGCTGCAGCCCAAAATAACGCAGATGGAGGCCGAGCTCCTATTTTACTTCTTTTACAACTGCCCCGGGGACATGATGCAGATGCTGGCCGCCGCCGAGTTGGCCGAGCGGAATTGGCGCTTCCACATGGAAGAGTGCCTCTGGCTCCGGCGACAATCTGATAATCCAAACTACGCTTATCTCGGCTTCCAGGAGTCCGGCGAGTACAACTACTTCAACAAGTTGCAGTGGAAGATTCTGCCCCGATACTTTAACCTCGATCCGGAGCAGATCGAGCGGACGCTCTCCAAGGAAGAGTTGTTTACAAAATACGGCTACCATCCGCAGATGTAGAGCAGGCAGACGCAGAGGCAGAGGCAGAGTGCCTTCTCACAGCTAACACTTTCAATCTGCCATGGATGGGTAACCCATAGAAACTATTACTCAGCAGGCAGATGGATGGCAGGCGAATCGGCATGCAGTACCTGAGTGGCATGCCTGTGGACTGTTTCAACTGCATGGCAAAAAACTTGTCTCGAACACTTTGTTTTTAATAAATGTGTAAACGTAGAATTTTACCAATCGCTTGTAATGTATCGTTCTTCCGTACTTCCACGCCAGATACAGTGTAATATTTATTTGTATTTATTTGAATGAAACTAAAATGTTTGTAATTTATCTGCGATATTTACCCACCAAAACAAATACGTAGCACGCGATGCCAGGCGCATCTTGTACCCTTGTACCCTCTTGTACGTAACAAATAAATATAAATATAAATATAGCAGCTAGTCATGCTTTAACTTAAAACTCACATACTATGTACCATGCCTTACTCCGTCACATACATATAAGCCAGCTCCAAAATCTGGCCGCCACACCCTCGAGGTGCCTTGGCTACACTTACACTGCAGCACCTCGGACAAGCCTCGGGCCAGCGAAGAAACTGAAATAAAACGATAGGGGGAAAAATGGGAGCGCTCATTAGCAAAATAATACACATACACTGTGTACACGCCGAGGCTGGCCAGCACACGATCTCTTGGCCAAGTGTCGCCATCCATGCTGTCGTCGTTTAGCCCGCTAATTGCCACGTAAATTTGCAACCATTTTTGGCAGCTCATTAAATTTATTATTAAAACAAAGCTAGAGCAAACTTAATTGCCATCAAATTGACATGCGAGACGGAGACGGATGACAGCACCCGCCGCCGTTTGGTTAAGTACGGCTGTTCGGACCGCGGACATAGCTGGAGCTGAAGCTGGACCTGGACCTGGACGTGTAGTGGAGCACGGCTCATGCGTATTAATTGCCATGGTAACTTCATAATTTCATGTGGAAAAATGTGAACGTTGGGCGTGCGCAGCATAGCTGCTGCTGCTGCTGCTGCTGCTGCTGCTGCCACAATCACAAGCACAAATACAATGTGTAATTTAAGCGAAAGACTTAAAAGATTGGAGTGGAACCAGGTTTTGGGATCTGTCCACTTGGCGGTTTATTTATGGCACGGCGAAGTTTGATTGAAATGTGTTGTCTATGAAATTGACAACTTGGGTGAGATTTGCACGGAACACTCGTACAGCTGTGGCTGTGTCTATGGCCTGTGCCAGTGCCTGTGTCAGTGCCAGTGCCAGTGCCAGTGCCTGGGCTGTGGATGTTGGATGTTGGAGCTATGTCTGGAAGCCAATTAAGCATGAATCATGCTCGCAAGTTGTGCAACGTCCGAGAGCTCTGATTAATAAGCCGCCCGCACATGGCTGGACCAGGGAATTAACCCCGAACTGAGGCACAACCCCGGCACACGCATGCGCAACGGCAATTACCGTTACCAATGCAAAATGCAAAATGCAGAATGTCCGCGAGAGGTGAGGTGAGCAGAACACCAGCAAGGGGGAAGGAGAGACAGGTAGGGTGTCAACACGATCGTAACTTGCAATCAACTTAAGATGACAGTGGAAATGAAGCATTGACGCCTCGCACGTACCACGTACAATCCGAGAAGAAGGCTGTGCTGCTCCATGGAAAGTCCACTCCATCCACATCCCAGAAGCCAATGGTGCAGTGGTGCGGTGGTGGGCAGACGAATAAAAGTAAAAAGGTGCTGCAATCAGGTTTTGCTTTCTGCTCGCTCGAGTGGGTACCAAATTAGACACATTTTATTATTAAAATCCACTTGTGTTGAAATAAAACACGACTTTCTGTGTCGCACATAATGAAAATATATGGCAAGTTAACGCCAGAATTTATTTATCAGCCGTTCGCAGTGCACTGTGGTGGGAAAGATGCTATCTAAAGCCAGAGTGCTCACTGTAAATAAAGTGAGTACAAAACCGAACTAATCACAGGCATGATCACTGAGGCTGATAGTTGTTTCAGCTACAAATCGAATCAATGCCATTATTCTTGTGCATCCAGTGCCCATTTTGGTGGTAGGGTAAGGCCAAGCTGTAGCCGTGTTTTGCCGACTTGGCAACAGCATCTCGAGAACTGCATGATCGGAGATCAATGAACGTTGTGATCAAGGATTTTGTCATCAGCGATCATCAGATCGCTCCCATTCAAGTCACGTCTCCGTCTTTATGCATATATCAGCCCCCCCAAAGAGCTGGCCGATGCTAATTGCGGCAGCCAGAAGAAGCTCTTCCTTTTGCCCAATGCTGGAAAATTTGTAATGTTAATTACTCTCTCGAGTCGAGAGAACTTTAGAGATTTGCATGCGAAGATCGAGTCAGGTATATTTCGGCATCGGCTGGTATTTATTTATTATTTTATTCTTTTTCTTTTTGTGTGTGTTTTTTGATGTTTTTTTGTGTTTTTGTTCTTGCGTTTGTTGGGTTTTTGGCGGCGGCTCCCTGAGCTGGCTCCCAGAGCAGCGGTTCGTTGTCTCATTCATCGGCGTCGTCTGAGTGTCTGGGGACGACGATGGGCATTATGCCATAGCCCTGGAAGATGGCTCGGCAGAAGACGAAGACGAAGACGAGCGAGTTCAAAGACACAACGGTACATTCAACCTGGAGGAGAGGAGCGACAAGGCCACGACAACGAGTGTCTCCACGCTCCACACCCACGTGTGTCCAGCCCGAGAGTCGTTGACCATTCGAGTTGATTGAACTGGAAACCAGAGAAATATCACAATAAGAACTGTTGCTGTTGCTGTGCCTGTGGCTGTTGCTGTTGCTTTTGCTGTTGCTGCCTGCCCCAACAAACGGCAAATTGCAGCTTCCAAGGAGAGCGGCAGAGGGAGCGAGAACAACTATGGGCTCGATTTGCAATTCAGCAGTAGAACAATGGCTCAAGCATCCGCATCGCTTCGCATCGCGTCGCATCGCGTCGCATCGGCGGGCGGGCAGCGCTGATCGTCTTCCCGTAACAATTTCCCTTCTGCTTTATGCAGTATGCACGGCATTAACGGATTCCTGCCCCGACAGATCCGATCCGATCCGATCCCATCCGATCTGGCCTGTGGCCACTGAACTGCTGCTCGGTTTGGCGAGAAAAGCGAGCAACACAAATGTAGGTGGTATGCATTTTAATATAGTGAAAGTGCAAGAACCACGAAACAGCCGTTCATTGTGCTACAATGCAGTCAGATCTCGGCACCGACCCGCCCCCGCCCCCGCCCCCGTACCACGCCACCACCAACAACATTTCAGCTGCATAATAAAGTTTCCACATTTCATTCTGTTGTCTATATGTACGACTATCTGCATCCAAGTACATATGTATGTATGTATGTATGTATGTACATATATGTATGTATATCTGGTTTGGTATATCTTATATCTGGCTCGGTCTTATCTAAGCATTTTACATTTTCTGATTTTCTGCACACACGAAATTTGTCAAAACAAAATTCGAATTGAATTTGTCAAGGCATACTCCCTCAATACCACCGCTGCCACCGGTACCGTACACGTACCGTACCCACCACCCCATATTATGTAAGTTTAATTAGCATAAATGTGATTGATCCCCCCAGTCGGAGCAAGTTTTCTGGTATTATTTGATTTTTATTGATCTTTTTCGAATGAAATGCAAAAAAATTCAATTGCACATTTTGTCGTTTTTGTTTCTGTCTGGTTTTTGTTGTTATGAATGCTGAATGGGACTAGGACTCACCATCAAAGACTGCACTCAAAGGCCTAAGCTCTAGAGACCAAACTCCTACCCTACCTCAAGTAGGGGCGTACTTAGCCAACTTGGAACAATCAATTTTAATTATAATTATGTATAACTAAAAATCAAGTATTGAGTATTTTTAGATGGCCATTCATGGGTTCATTTCAACTAAATATGAGCTCAGTTAATTTCACTATGAGATATCAAATTAAGAAAAATCGAAGCCCCATATCATAATAGGAATACATTTCCACCAAGCTATATTCCAACCAATATAAATGGGACGGGAACTATCTATCCATCATGTGATTATTAATCACATTTCTGCCTGATGGGTAGTGCCACTGTCCATAACTCTCTGCCCAACTCTTCTGCTATTGTTTCTATTTCCATGGCATGCCGGGCCATGTCATGCACATATTTAATAGCTTTTTTGCATATTATATGACAAAATATGCAGACCGCGGATAAACAAAATCTGCGAAGACTGCGACGCAGGTGAAATTTGCATGGTTATACGAGTCGAGTAGCAAACAGTAAGTAAGTATTTTTATTTTGAATGAGGTCAAAGCGCAGACCTCAAACTGGCTTGCCAGTACATACATGAGAAAAGAGTCCCCGGTTTAAGTATTCTAACTGCATCTTATGCTAAATTAAGATTAAATCAGGCCTAACAAATATTTGATGATAGTTAAATTTTGATCTCTGATCTGATTCAGTAATGAGTTACGGGTCTGCGTCTATTGAGCATACGTGTATGTGGGTTTAGAGTCCTTAGAGTGGAGTTCGGTTCATAGGAAGTGGTAAAATAGCGGGTATAAGCTTTAGCTTAATATGAATCGAATACTGTTGTTCTGTGCTGCCTCTGACCTGATATACTGGACTTGACAAGTTAATCGACTGCGATATCTCTCTGATTTATTTTATTTGTAAACTACATTGAATACTGTGATAGGTTCTATGAATATTAGTCTGTACTTTAATCTTACCCGACTTTTAATCTCTGAGAACTCTTCCTTATCGATCCCTTCTTACCACATCGAACCCAATTTTGTTGGCAAATAATTACACGCACGGGCCCCGCGTTCCTCGGCCCCAGCTCTAAGCGCCAGTTGGGTCCACTCCTCCTCCCTTTGCATCTTTGGGGCCAGACTCCGGATCAGGGCATCTCGTTCGCCCCGCTTAACATGCTGCATTCGTGTGCGCTGCTCATTGATCGAAATTGAATTGGACATAAATAAAACAAGATCAATCAATTGATTTATTTTGACATGTTGCAAGAGCGCAACGCTCGCTTCAACTTCAACTTCGCCAGCGACTGCGACTGCGACTGCAACTTCAGCTTCAACCTCAGCTCCAGCTTCAGCCTCAGCTCCGACTCCAGCGGTGGCCGGTTTGGTTAACTGTCCCATTGGCCTCCTACTCCTTCGGAGCGCAGTGGGTCTCATTTGCTTTGT